AATCTTCTCAAGTACGCTCTGCATAAACCTGAGCTCGATTTACTGTGTCGAATGATTTTGTGAGGTCCTAAAAGCGATGCAGAGATCCACATGCTTTTCCCTACCTTTTTTTGGTAGCTGACGACACGGTGTTGTAGTTGAGACCTGGAAGTCCAAGACCGAGACCTAATGACCCAAGACCTCAAGACCTTGTATGTAAAGCATGCAATAAAAGAATTGAAAAGAATTACAAAAACACGTATCATGTGCAACAAGGGAAATATAACTTTTTATTGACATCAAGACAGCTTCCTTGTAGACTTAAAACATTAGTAAAGTTAATTAACAATAATTTAATCCTTGCCATGTTTATAATTTTCTCAAGACAACCCTGCTCTGTTGCATCCAACATAATCCAGCACAATTGAGGTATGCAACCTGACTAAAACAACTGACTATGCACTTGAGGACAAAACATTAGAATGAATTAGAAACAGAAGCTAGAATGACTCAAACTGTACTCAAATATATGTACATGTCAAGTTTTTCTGCTGAGGTGCCTCGTCAATGCTGAACTTCTTCCGGGTCTCTCTGAAATCCCGATTCGTTACAGGACAGAATTTACACACTGCGGAGTGTTTTTGTTGCCAGCTTTGCTGTCCATGTAGGCCGTCTTTAAAACTATTAAGCGTATAGTGGCAAATTTACATGACATCTCCGATTACTTACCAAGTTGTGTGGCGGTGTCAGCAACTTAGCGAAGAGGCAAAATTTTATCACAATACAGTGTACTCTACAGTGTAAATAAAACACGGTCTCTAGTCGAGTGTAATCGATTCTGCACAATGAGTGCAAGTTCACGTTTGTATGCAATATTGGTGGTCTCGATATCGAGACCAGCAAAATACCGAGGCCACAGGGTACCGAGACCGAGACCTCGGAGACCAGGAAAAACGGTCTCACGGTGAACACTGGGAGACCAAGGTCTAAAACTGCACAGAGTGGGTAAATACGCTCTTCCAGGACTTTAAGCCTCTGCTCCTAAGCACGTATGAGTCTTGCCATAGCACCAAACACGAACGTTCAGCAAGAAAATTCCCGGGTAGTTGCAATCAGGATTGTCCTTTATGAGCAGCATGAATTTAGCATCCTTGAGACACTGAGACACCTTCCCACAATTCTAATAGCTAACAACAAAACGATAAAGTTGTGACAGGAAAGGGCTGTCTGACAAAGCCAGGATCTTGACAAATTCGGCTAGTATATGCCATCGGTACCTCTGAAATCCCCTGCAGTTCAGCAGTGGGGTCACAAGATACCCAGTTTTCGTGTGTAGCTACGAGGAGGCGCTGCAGGAGTCTTGATCATGGTGGAGAGGCTATATGTACTCACTGGCAGGGGGAGATTTACTCACTGGCAGGGGGAGATTTGGCTCTCCTTTTCGACCCGAAACAGGGCAAGCCAGAGGCAGCAGCCGAAGGTAGAAAGTGGGGTTGCAATACTAATTACAACTGCACTATTGCACAAGACGCACCACACACATCCTGTGGCAAGGTGCACACCAACACACGTTGGTCAAAAATAATATAAGGTATGGAACTCCATTGCTGCCATTTTACGCAGCGCGTGTGGGGCATTTGGGCTGGATCTCCTCACACTTCCGCCGTCGACGGCGCATTGTCGCATCGCATCGTCGCATTGTCGCATTTTGAGACCTAGACATTTCTTTAGTTTTGCTACCTAAGGGCGCACAAGATTAAGTCAAGAATGATGCCACTGCATTTTTGTAGGGAAGGATTGGTCAAAAACTTTTTTTTATTGTATCTTTAAAATCATCAATTACCTGCAACGAATCGAACACCATGCTGAGTCTCCAAATTCCACAGATTTCCGATGCGACGGCACGACGCGACAATGCGACGGCACGACGCAACAATGCGCCAGCACGACGCAACAATGCGCCGTCGACGGCGGAAGCTAGTGTAGGGAGGTCCAGGTCAAAATGCCCCACATGCGCCGCGTAAAATGGCAGCAATGGAATTCCATATGAAGGAAAAGCAATAGCGGTTGGAATGGGAGATTAACATGAGCACTTACTACTTGAATTAAGTCTACCCTTCCTGTTGCTAGTGGCAACACGAGTAAGCGGAACTCGTGCATTGACAACACGCAAATTACGCACAGATGTACGTACAGTACGCGTCAGACGATTGAAAGTTGGGCGAAGTGTTGGTCTTCTCTTGTTGATTTCTGAGTACGAAGAGAAATTTGATTTTAGACATGGCTACTACACAAGATGAAGTTGCATTTCGTTCAATGGTTCGGGCCTCGGGTTTAGGTGAGGTATGGAATCACACCTCTGACGAGTCCAAATTTAAACAGTATGGATGGAGGACAACGACAAAGGAAGATTGCTACTCGCCAAACACTCTCGTGGGGAACTGGAACGAAGAAAGGTTTGACATTGAAAGAATCAGAGTGCCAAGAAGATTACCATCACAGGTGTGTGTTGACTTTGAAATGGAACAAAAAGTATTCCAGTTCGGACCATCCAATTCCTCATTTTTTGCGTGTCCAATAATCAGATAATAGTAGGCTAGCCTCATACATGCCATACGTAGGGCTGTGGAGTGTGGATGGCTCTCTTTTGGAATCTGTCTCTGTCATTGTCGGAAAGAGACAGATTTCAATTTCAAAAGAGAGCCATCCACAGGATTTTGGGTCAGCTTGTATCCGAGTTAACTCGTACCCCAGTCAACTCTTACCCGGGTCAACTAGACCAGTCAACCTGTACCCTCGTCAGGGTACGAGACCCTCGTCAACACGCATTTGTGACCCGAACGAATTACGATTGTTTTCTTGCTGCCCAACCATGGTCTAACAAATTGGATATGCCGAAATTTGACCTCGAACATTGGTCATCACCCATGTTCTGTGGTACTCGTCATCATGGTCATCTGGCAGCAGGCCCAACTCTTTCGAGAACAGATTGGGTGAGTTTGTTTCAGTTCTATCTATGCAATGCCAGGCCTGCATCACCAAGAAGTTGCATAGTGTCAGTAAATCCTAACTCGAGGACACACGTTCTGCTTCTCTTGCTTCTTGCAAACAACGCGAACTTAAATCCGGGGCCTTCTTCAAACTCATTGATTCATGTGATTGTGATAACATGGTTTCCCCACGTACATGTACATGTACAAACCTGCGTATCGGGCCTGATACGCAATTACACCTGTATTTCTGCCCGATACGCAAAAAACGAGCCGATACCCAATTTTTCATCCCCAAAACGCACAGTATAAATATGATAGTATGGCTCAGAATTATCTTACATAATGCAGATTGCATGTCCAGAAACTCTAGACAAAAAAGCAGTTAATAGTCCTGCATTTTTCCGTGTACATGTACATACTATAGGTAGCCTATCGGTGCATAGTACATGTACATGCATTGTGCACCACGCGTCGGCGGCCACACTACACACCGTACGTGTACATCGGCACTGAACGTTCCTTGTGGCCTGTGTCGCATAAAATCTGAACTTCTATAATAGGCTTTGTACATGCACCCGTGTGCATATATGTTTTCTCTGTGCTGTGTGCTCAATACGCTAGTGGGGCTGCATTTACGAAGGTTAAAATTTTATGCTACACTTTTTGCAGGACTAACAACACCAACCCCATACACGTTTTTTTTTCATGGGGGCAGCTGTAGCCCTCTCTAACAATTTTAATGGCATCTAGGATGGGGACGATACATTTGTATTTCTCGTTGCCATTTCACCGCGTTTTGTCATGGCACAATGGCAGAAACTCAATCAAAGATTGAGCTCTTTTTTAACCCAATAACATCAGCAGTCCACGCTGAGGGAAACCCAAAGGCAGACGAAGCAACCACCTGTAGCACGTGCATAGAAGGTGCCGGTGAAGGAAGGTCTGATCAGCAAAAACCAAAGGTTGAAGCATGCATTAAAATTAAAACTGAATTTACGGGTGTTTAAATTGTTGATTAAAACAGCCACTAGGCCTGCAAGTTGTTGCATGTTTTTTAAATATCCAAAATTTAAAACAAAAATTATTGAATTCTTATTTTTTTCCTGGGAAAAGGTACTTGAAAAGCCCAGGAAATGCTCAAAAATGCTGCTGAGTGCATCCAAAGTCAAAAAATTTTCGGGGCCCTTGGGTTGGCCCCGACCCCCATGGGCCCACACCATGGCTTCGCAAAATTTTGGTAAACCACAATGGAAAAACCCCACAGTTTTGAAAAATCCTGGGGAGAACCTTGGTGATATATCTGTTACTGTTAGCTCTTCGGTTTCATATCTATGCTTGTATTGTAACAAAGAAACCAAATGGAAAGATGATGCCCTGGAGTGTGAACAGTGCTTTCAATGGGTGCACAAGAACTGCATGGGTATGAGCAAAGAAGTGTTCAACTGCCATGTGCATGTAGATCCCCCATCATACACTTGGATTTGTTATACATGTACAATGTAAGTGCGGTATGCCAAACTTTTCCAGCTCACTTTTTTTCCCTATTTGACCTGGAGACTACAAATTCCTACAAAGTTTTAGTCCATACTGAAGATACACTGTACATGTAGTATATTTAGTGATGATTTTCATCAACCCTCACCTCTCAAGACATCTAGCCCCAGAATTAGACCCAACCTAGCTAGCACACATACAGCAGGTACATTTAAAAGGAAATCAAACTGTGCAGGTTCAAATAAAGCCATGAAACAAGAAAAAATGAAGCTTTTGAATGTGAATTGTTCGAGTGTGCATTCAGAACTTTGACATGGAGGTGTGTTCATTGCAATTAAAATGCCTTGATCATCTCTGAAAGATCAGATCTCTTCACAGACTGCCCAATCATGTGGGTTACCATTCAGCTCAAGGGCCTGAAGCCGCTGTGTGTTGGTGTCATCTATATACCACCGTCTACTGATAGTCAGTATATTCTGCAACTCCAGAGTTCACTTAACAAAATACCTACCCACTCTTATGTATGGCTCCTTAGTGATTGTAATTTACCTGACATCGATCAATTGGCAAACTAACACTTTTAATGCCGGAGGTAGGCATGCCACCACAAGCAAACTACTGCTGGACATGACGAAAGAGCATAATCTTCAACAAGTTTTATCTGAGCCAACCAGAGAAAACAATATCACTGATCTGGTCTTTACTTCAAACATCGCTACAGTGCACAGTGTTGAAGTTAAAGTAGGCATCAGTGACCACAGCTTCGCGATAGTAAATGCTGATCTCCATCCTGTGAAAAATAAACCTGTCAAGTGGAAAGTTTATCTCTACAAGAAAGATGATATGAGTCAAATCTCTAAAGACTTTCAGGCACTACACAGCAGACTGAACACTACACTTATCAAGAGTAGTACCACTGAGAAATTGTGGATCACGTTCAAGACAACGCTGAAAGAATCAATTAATACAAATATCCCTTTGAAAAGGATGTCTACTAGATTCTCACTTCCATGGATTACCAATGATCTTAAAAGGAAAATACACAAGAAATAGCAGAAGGACAACAAAGCTCAAAAGTCAGGTAGCACACATGACTGGGAATCGTTCAAAAACTTCCAGCGCATAACAGACAGGGCTGTTCGCAGAGAATATCGACGTTACTATCTCTGAAGTCACAGATGGGAGCCTCAAGTCTGGAAACACTAAACTTTTCTAGAAATATTTGTGAAAACAAAAAAAACCCATGTTTTGGGAATCCCTTCATTTAATTTAAATGATGGAAAAACTGTCACATCACCTGCTGAAAAAGTGCAAGGATAAAATGACCAGTTTAAACCAGATTTTACTGCTGAGGACACTAGCTCTATGCCTACTCTCCGACCTCTTTTCATCCCAGACATCTATCACATTACTTTGAAAGAAGAAGGAGTACTCAATTTATTGTTATCAATCAAGGTCAATAAAGCTGCAGGTCCCAATATGATAGAATTTTTAAGGAATGTCGTTACACCATTGCGCCAATACTCACCATAATCTTCCAGAAATCCCTGGACACAGGCTCCCTCCCCTCCCTCAAGCTCGGTGCAAGGCCTTCTACAAAAAAGGAGATAAATCTAACTTTGCCAACTACAGACCAATTTTTCTGACTTCCCTACCTTGCAAACTACGAGAGCATGCATGTATAACATGTATAATTTATCATGTTATGGACCACTTGGGTTCAACCTCCTTACAGATGTTCAACACGGATTTCAAAAATCACAGTCATGTGAATCACAACTAGCATTCACCATCAACAGTCTTGCGCAGTCTCTGAACTCTCAAGGTCAGATGGATCTCATTTTACTGGACGTTACCAAAGCTTTTGACAAAGTCCCACACCAAAGACTAATTTATAGTCTAAATTACTTAGGTATCAGGAGATCACTTCACACCTGGATCAAGAATTTCTTGACTCACCGTCACCAAAGAGTCCTGCATGTACTTGAGGGATCATTCTCATCTAGTGCACCTGTTGTATCCGGCGTTCCCAAGGCACAGTCCTCAGGCCGTTGCTTTTCTTGACCTACATCAACAGCCTACCGTCACCAATCAAGTCAAATGTGCAAGTATTTGCAGATGACTGTATTCTCTATCGTCAATTGAAATCTGATGAAGTCTCTGCAATTCTGCAAGACGACATCAACAACCTACCTGTGTGCAAATTTAGTCTAAAACATGGCAAATGATTTTAATATTGCTAAGTGCCTTTTCATGCACATTACTCAGAAAAGATGCCCCCAGTCTTACCAGTACAAAATGGATATTAAGCATTCCTCTTGAGATTACTAAACACCACCTTTACCTGGGAGTAGTAATTTCACACAATTTGGAATGGAAGCACCACAAAAATCACCGCTAAAGCAGAAAGTATGTTGGGACTTCTTTAGAGACACTTACACAATTGCAGTGGGTAAGTCAAAGCCACAGCATACAAGTCTTTAGTGCACCCCCGATTAGAATATCACAGCAGTATCTGGGACTCACACTTAAAGTCGAATAAAACTGCACAAGAGAATACTCAACGTAAAGTGTAACAACCATATTAAAAAAACTAGAGTGGGACCGGATGCCCTGGAAGTATGGCGGGCACTTTGCAGGCTAATTTTCTTACACAAAAGTTTGAACAGCCTAGTAGCTTTCTAGGATGATAAACTTCCCATAACATCCATCAGGTTAACTAGAGGCTGTGCACCAAATTCCACATTCATTCCTCTTCATGCCAAAAAGGACTGCTACAAATACTAATGCGTAATCCATTTAGAGTCTTTGAATGGAACCAACTCCCTCACTTCATTTTGGAAGCTTCCACTGTCGGTACGTTTAAATCCAGCCTACTAACCCTGGATATCAAGGCCCTTTTAAATCACACCCACCCTCTAGACTAAATTGTTGCACACTGCCAACACTAGCTACGCCAGCGCGTTTATAACCCTCGAAGGGTATTTTTCACAGTATGGAGCGGAAGTTATACAAGCCATACAAGATAACAACCTAAGATGGACGTGATGTAGAGCTGGGACTTAAAAACTTGGGATCTGTGGAACATCTGTGTTCAGGGGTCGTTGTAGTCAGCTGCCATTTATGTCCTACCTCCTAAACATGATGGGGATTTTTCAACAAAATCCGACTGGTAAAAGGAACCTTATACATTTATCAATGTATGCAAGCATCAAAACCCCTATTCTGCTTCGCATATTCTCTGCTGACTGGGCTTGGGAAATATAAGTTGACTCGGGTATAAACCAACCTGAGTACGAGTTAACTCAGGTGCGAGTTGACTCGGGTACGAGTTAACTTGGGTGCATATTTTGGGGTACACGTTGACCGGAGTAAAAGTTAACCCGGGTGCTAGTTGACCCATTTCCATCCATAGCCCTACACGTAGAGCCAATCACAGGCCTACAAGCCTTAAATAAAAATGTAGGCTAGGCCTAGGCTAGTCCGAGTAACTTGGACTCAATGAATCGCCTTTTTAACATTTTGGACTCAAATACGGTCGGCGATATACATTGTACATGTAGTGTCAGTGTTAAAAAAAGCTGAGTTGGCTACGCACATGCATGTACATGTACAAGTATGTGCTGAAATTAATGGGATTCTTCCATTAATTTTAAACCCTGTCATTCTTAGAGTCAATCAGCCAGTGATTAGAGCCAAACTAGAGCACTGACTTATATTGTACAAAGTGATGCCTGCTTGGCACATCCATGTTTGTGCACAAACCTATGGAAAACTCAATTTTGTGTGGCTTTTGTAAGGCTATTTGCATATCTGCATCTGTATTCTAAAATGATACATGTACGTCAACAAAGCCAACACACGAACAAGCTGAATGCACAATCAGTAAACGAGCAAAATGACTTTGCTCTGTGCCCGCGCTGCATAAGAATTTTGCTGTGACTTGTTTTCAATCAGATTTTACTGGTTCCCAATGCACACAACAGCTGCCACTCCAGAGCCGTCAACTCACTTAAAACTGACTAAATTAAGGGAACAACGTTTAGTTTAGCTGAACTTATTCATCGAAAGACAGAGACATGTTGAAAAACATGCATACAAAATGGGATGACGTTGCGCGAATGTTGGGGAAATATTTGTTTTTTCCTATGCGCCTTGTTCAAAAGACCAGCTGACAGTCACGTATGTTATTCTTGGGCGTTGCATTTAGAAGAATACCAGTAATTTGATATTTAATGTATCTAATGTTAAAGTCTCACTTTGGAAAGTTGTGCAAATATGTACCCAATATACTGGTACAATTCAACTGAAAGAAGGGAACACGTTTCAAAGTCCAGTGAATAATTTTTGCACTCTTTACTTTGCACTGGTAAGGGTAAACATGCAGAATAATTCAGCATTAAGCAACACAGTTTTTTCTACGTTACTTTAATTTTTTTGAGGAATATTTTCATAAAATTGGTATAGTAGGGTCATACTCTCATCAGTTGAGATATTTTAACATGCTGGAGAATTAGTATTGTTTATGATCAAATTCTGTCGTTTCAGTTTGAGCACTACTTTGATACAACCTATGATGATTCCTACAAAATGGAAAGGAAATCACTGCCTCATTCACTTGTTCATTTAGCAGGTATGTGCGTTCCATGATTTATTTCTCTTTAAGTTTGATTCTGTTCATGGTGTCTGTTCCTATGGGTGTGTAACAGAATAGCCATTCCTCAATCATGCTCATGCCTGTTTGATTGAACAGACTGACTGGTGCTCAGTGGTAGTCAGCTCAGAACATTTCAATCAACTTACTTAATGAGCAATCAAGCTTTTTCCTCAAATAGCACTGCCGACAACATACATGTAGGTTTGCCTTTTACAGGGCAATGTGTGAGCTGTGTCATTGTCATTGCAGTAATTGTGTGAGTTCAAGGCTGTATGCATGCATGAGTGTGTATGCTATTGTACCCATGCAATTATAACCTGTCCAGAACTGTACTTCACCATTCTTATGATGAAATGTCATCTGAGATTATTTTAAAAAAATTGTGAGAGAGTGTACCCTCGTACATATACATGTACATGAAAGAACTTCAATCTACCGGTAGTATAGTGCTTGCCTCCAAAATGCAAGTGTACATACATGTACAGGTGCAGCATTCTCATTCAGTAAAACAGATGATATTTCTGTCTTGTGTACTTACTGTGAAGATCTAAGTTGAACAGTTCACTAACAAATTCAAATTTATTCACACACATGTACCTCTGAGGCAAAAAGCATGAGCGGCCTACTCATAAATGTACATGGGCACAACCTCTCATGTCATTTTACAAACAATCTTCTGGTTCAACAATCTTCATGTTTGCACACCACTACATGTACTGTATTTTCAGTGGGTCACTCACTCCTTTGCCCGCCATGGCAATGTATGCACATAAATTTGAATTTATTAGTGAAATTATCTATGGCTGAAAACAACATTGGTATATGAGCACAGGGTTCCAACTGTCTCTCAAATGGCAATTTTTTTTTAACAAAGTTTGACTGTTTGGTCAAGCTTTGGCAGTCGGTAGAGAAAAAATAGCATTCAGCATAAACAAAAGTGGCTTTAAAGTGCATACTAACTGAAACTTTGGCCATAAAAATACCGGTATGCCTTTGCTTTGCATTTTAAAACACATCCCTTGAAATACGGTACAAGTTTCTGTCTCAGTTTACCCTATTTTCAATTCAGCTTTCATTGTTTATTGGACATTTTGGTGCTTTTTATGCAAATATGGACATCAGTATTTATGGGCAAAACTGGGATCAGTTTCTTTTGGCAGAAAACCTCATTGTTGCATTGATCTGTGTACAAATAACTACTGGAATTTTAATATATTGCTGCAGTACATGTACATTAAATTTCATTTCATTGTTGCTTCTTTGCTCTGTACAGTGCAAGTGAATTGCAGAAGTCCAATGAGAAATTCTCTCTCAAAAATGTCTTCAGTGAGCAATATGTGAAAATTTTCCTTGTGAACGATAAAATAATAACATTTCTTAATTTTTCGCATTAAAAAGAATAATTCTTATGATTTTAAATGTCAGCTCGTGAAGCCCGGGCATTTCCAGCATCACAGCCCGAGTTAGATCCTCCTAGAATGAAGCAAGAATATAACTCATTCCAGACAACATCAAGAGCAGCATATGTCGACCCTAGACTGAGGACAACACCCCTTAAGTCATAGTGAGGCTATACTTACCAGTTAGTTAGTTACCAGATACCAGTTTGTACACTTTGTATTTAATAATTGCACTCAAATAATCTATATATAGCCAGTTACATGTATTCAGACTTATTGAATGTAAACATGACAAGCATTCATAATGTGCTATCTTTCCTCGTAAAGTGAAGGAATTCCGTCTGTGTCCATTTTTGTCAGTTTGACCTGTTGTACATGTATGTTAAAGACATTTTTCTTGTTTGGATGTATACATTGAAATTTAGAGTAAAAGTGTAATGTATAATGTAACTTTACGGCCTTTTAGCTATTCATTCATCACTCTGCTCCTTTGAGGTGATTATGAAGTCCCCTTTAAAAATGCAACCCCATGGCAGTGTTGTTTTTTTTTAATTTATTTTTTTTTCAATTTAAAAAATAAGTTTTAAAATTAAATCAGATTTTTCAAAATTTAAATCAGACTTTTTTTGCAAAATGGGAGACAAGTTGGCTCAATTGTCTATTCAAAAGCAAGAAAATTAGCATGTGTATTTAGTTTTCTTTTATTTATTTGTTTTGTTACAAAGTGAAACACATTTGGATTGAATTAAGAAAGTTAATCAAGAAATTTGATTAAATATGACAAACCACCATGTCTTAGCCTTGATGAAAGGCATGCAGTGTAATACCTACTGGCATGACTGGTACATACACCCGCAGAGGAAGATACTTCCTTTATGAGACAAGTACATGTACCTGTGTACCAAGGATAAAGTGCACACCTGAATTTAAACCGAACTCTTGACAAAACTAGAGTTCACAAGAATTTGTTAACTGGGTACGTATACATGCATCAACTGACTACTGAGTGACAAACATGCCATAAACAGGTACATGTATTTATTTTACATGTTTTATGTACTCGTACATGCAGGTACAAAATGTTGGTCTTTTTCTTTGCTTTATGTGCAAAAAGCAGTCTTATTTTGTTTCTGATCCAGCTCCACAGAGCAATGACTGAGGTTTGATTAAACATCACTTTCTTAAGGGCATTTATTAAGGAGTACTTAGTGGTTTTAGTTAAACTAAATAATGACTGTACATGTAGTTTCTAATCTCGATAAAATACATGTGTACCTGTATATAAAAGGTAGATGTACACTGTTCACTGATACTTTACCATGTCAAACTCTGAAGTGGGCAATTCAAATGAAGTAAAATTAAATCATTATGATAAGTCCTTTTGCATGAAATTCACCTACTGAATCCAAAAATCAAAACAAGTGGATGGAATTGAACAAAAATAATCCTGCCAACCCAGATTGTGTGTAACACGTGTGCATTCATGCTAGTAGGAACTGGAAGGCTCACATAGGGGTGATTTGTTGTTTAAAATGTGCAAAACCTGCAAACATTTCCAATCAGGAAAAAAGAATTCAAGTATTGAAACATTTTTTGCCGTTTTTCCCAAAAAATTAAATAAGTCGATTTAAATTATTGAACCCCCCCAAAAACTACATGTAAATCAAAGTGATTGAAATCAACCAACCGTGCTCCATGGTTCAGTGCACCTGTGAAATCCAGAATAATATCTGGTCCTTGGAAGGATGAACTGTATGTGGACATGTGCATGGAAAATCAACGAAGTGCTCTCACTGTGCAAAAACTTCATGATTCCTTAAGTGAATTCAAGTAATGGATTAAAACTTCAAGAACTGGTACATGTACATTGTGCTGTTTCACACCGAAGCAGATCCTTCATAATTTAACGTGGGTTCCAACTGTTTTAATGCTGGGCAGTTTTCTCTAGAATTGAAAGAACAAATTTTAAAAAGGCCTGTGCATAAAGCTATTGCACAATGATTTCACATTTTTGTTTCAAATGCAGATGTTCATCTACTTTTAATGCAGCCTAGGGATCAAGTGGCTGTTTTGTAATTCACATTTTAAAAAGCTTTATTTTATCCTTTCTACTCCCCCATGTTTGTTATTGGAACCAGAACAGTACACTACAAGTGTAAACCAGAAATTTCAGGCAGAACAATGTGAAAAGCCCACTTACCGGTACTTCCCCAATGTCAGTATGTTTGGCTGTATTTATTCTTTTTAGATTAATCTTGTCTAGTATAATGACTTGAGAACTGAGGAATTACAGAGCTTATGTCATTCAATTTTCATTTTCACAGTCATTAACAACGAGGGTTCAAAACCAATTATAAGTACATGTGTAATGGAACAAAAATTCTACTTTGAAAGGTTTTAAAGCAAATGTGCATTAAATTTTTTAACATAAAAAAAAACATGTTTCCAGTCAACTACAGTATGATTATTAGAATATGCTATTTTTTTTTAGAATATGTTCTTTTAAAAGTTGAGATGCATGTACATGTATTCTGTAAGTCAAGTATGTTAAATGCCATTCATTAAATGGTTGAAAGTTGAACTTCAGTGACCTTATACCGGTACATGTAATTAAAATTATTACCTTCATTGAAACACGGTATCTCTTTTTCAACCCTAACCCCCTAGCGTGTACGTAAAATCAAATTGAAACCGGAGGATTTGGGACTAGTAGGGCTATTGAAATGAATAATTAGGAAGTGAAAAACTCTTTTTTTTCCAGATTATTATGTAACGAATTGTGACAAATATAAAATCGAACTAAAAAATAAATGTCATCAATCAATGATGTTATAAGCAAGTACATTGGTGAAACAAACTTATGCCCATAGACTTGAATAAAACCTTTTGACTATAAACATCAGCCTCTTGCAGCCAGCAGTACACTTTTAGTACTTATAATACACATCATGGCCTCAACGTCCTGAAATGTATGTCTTACATAATGTATTTTCATATTCAATTATGAAGATGCAGTGAATGGATATTTGGACAAAACTTTCAGGCACCAAATAATTAAACATTTGGTGTCTGAAAGTTTTGTCCAAATTTATTGAGCCATGTACGCGTATCATGATGCATGTATCTGTGTCCTAATGACACAAGGGGCACTTTCATGCAATAACTACACATTGTAATGTACTTATCACAGCATACTGGTACTTACGATTTCCACTCCAGCAATGGCCTTGCCCAATACAATGTATGACTAATGTCACACTGCTTTACCACATGTGCATGTGTGGCAGTGAAAAATTCCCCTGTGCATACATTTCTGAGTAAAAGCACATTCCTGTACAGTGTGGTACTTGAACATTAGTTGAGGTTATTCCCGTCATAATTCTGCAAATATTGAAAAAACCTGAACGCTGTTTAACTCTGATGAGCAGTACAAGAATCCATGAAGAAATGGCTAAGATGAACCGCATGATGCAGGCAGTTACTCTTCAGTATTAATAGGGAAACACATTTACAATGTGGATAATCTGCACGAGACTTCCTGAATTCTACAGTAGATAATTCAAAATTATGTGAATATGAAATATGAAATATAATTTGAATTCTATGAATAATAATGAAGTACAAGTCTTCCGAGGGTTTGCATTCCTTTCCACGTGTCAGGCATACGATTCCCACTATAGGTTCAAAGAATCAATGGTAATTCAATTGAGGTGGCCCAGGATGGGTATATAAACCCATGCTGGAAGGCATCAGCATCTTTTCAAAGTGGAAATGAAACGAGCCCCTTTTGTATGTATACGGGTAGGGAATGAGTATTATAAACTGGTGACTAAAACAGAGAGATGGGCGGGAAGCCTTTTCGACTTGTACTTCATTATTATTCATAGAATTCAAATTATACCTGTATTTCATATTTCATTTTCACATAATTTTTGGAATCCTATTACATAACAATTCTTACAAGTCTTCAGAGGGTTTGCATGTTCAAGTTCAAAGCTTATTTGCAAAAAGGGCGAGTTCAACAATCCACATAAATCATGACGTGACCAACATACAATCAATTGCTTGTTTTGAAAGCTATTAGGAAAGCATCACTCCTGGAAACAAAACAAGAGACACCTTTATGTTGAAATAAATGTGCAATGAGCTCTCCAAGTCAATTATATTAACAATCAAACAGGCACTTTTAATCTCGGATCAATTGGATATGCATCCAATAAAGTCAAATTTGAACAAAGATCAACAACACATTCAAGTTACTGAGGAGATTTTTAAGTTTCTCAAAGTTTCCCACAACTTTGCGANAGTTTAACTAATAATGCACTGGTACTAATAATCATTTCTGTAGGAGAAGGCAAATACGTTCGATGGATGGTCTTAAATAAAGATGACCTTCCACTTACAACCTAGAAGAGCCTTTATTTGGGGCAAACTCAGAAACCAGAATAAACTTGGAGCAGACGTGCTACTTCCTTTTAGTCTGCACTTAGAACTGAGGATGCAAATTTGGAAACATCTATCATTTTGTTGTAGAACCTGGCCAAGTTACTGGCATTAGACCAGTTGGCTGTGTAAAGTGTATCATTTAGCGATACCCCTTGCATCAAGCTTAAGCAGCTGAAGTTGATGCACTTCGGAAACTATGAGCGGTATAGACATTTTTATGTATCCCCGCTGCCTGAAGTTTATTTTGCATCCATCTTGCCAGGGTACCAGTCAACACAGCTTTACATGTATGTGGTTTCCTAGTTGAAATAAACAGCCCAGTGGTAGAATCTCTGAGTGAACTCGTTCTGTCAAGATACTCCCTTAAAGTCGATATAACACGTAATTCACTGTTAGCTTCAAAGGCGTGCAGAGTAAGTGTATTACTGGAGATACCTTTCTTTGGACAATTAGTCTTTAGTAATTCCACTACCGTACATCTGTTATCTGAGAAATCAAAATATTGGATGTCAAGAGCAGCAAGCATTTGAGTTCACTGTGCTGTAACAAGAGCCAGCAAGCTTAAAAGTTATTGGTAACAACAAATCGCTGTTGTCAGGTAAATTTGAAATGTGGTCTAAGAGCTTTGACACTTACCACGTTTTATAATAGGATGTTGCCCCACAGGCTGACCTCCAGCCAAAGTCACTGATTAGGCTGACCTATAAAGATTTATAGTTGAATATGACTTTCCATCTGAATGCTGCCGAGCCAGGAAATTAGCAATATCTAGTTCAAATGGCGCAAAAGGATTGATTTTCCTCCTACCACACCAGCTAAGCCAACATTTCCAGGCAGACTTGTACTGTTTTTCTGTGCCTTGCCTCCAAGAATTGGAGAGGAGTTTGGAGGCATCTTCCGAAAGTCCCTGTGCTGCCCATTGTCACCTGAGATGGTCTAAGTGGCTAACTTGAGGTTCAGGGGATGGACTTCCCAAGGTTGGTCTAGAGCAGACTCTGGGAGCTGAATTGGATGTGACACACACATTGACAGTAGTTGTGGGAACCAGGCTTGGGTTGGCCAAATGGAAGCAACCAGCAGACATGGGCCTGTCTTTTCTCAAACAAAATGGTGGAAAAATGTAAGAGGAT